AGAGGGGCACCAACCACAAATCAAATCGTAGACATCATATATTTGAATATTTATTACAATGATTATTTGACATATGGAGGTAGAGTGTCATGAGGAAGCGATACCTTTTTTCTATTTGCACAAAGCTGCAGTAACAGTTGGCAGTAGCCCTGACTATGTGAAGGTTGATTGGGAAATCAGTTAGGAATCACTCCAGGCCAAAAATAATGAGGCCTACACTGAGGCCTGGAGGTGGGGACAAAACATCCACTCAGATAGAATCTATCAGACAAGGTTGCAGACTGGAAGGAGTGGCAAGGGAGTAGATCACGCCTGGGTCTCTGGCTCTGGCTGTATGTGGAGGCAAGTTCAGTGGAATAAGACAAGTATCTTCAATTGTCATTATAAATCATAGCAACAAACTGTTAGGAAATGTTAAATCATCATTTATAGAAATATATAATGCCTAATTAAGCTTTTAAAAATATGTTAATTTATGTCCTTTATGAGAGAAAAATTTTATCAAAAGACTTTAAAGAAGTCCTAAGCAAATGGATAGATATACCATGTAAATGGATAGGAAGACTCAATATTGTAACAACACCAGTTCTCCCAAAATGTATCTCTACAAAGTCAGCATCATGATCCAGTCTCTGCTGCATGACGTTGACTCTGGTTTTGGTGGAGAGAAGGGCTGGCGTGAGTCCCTTAGGAGGCAGACACAGTTGACCAGGAGAGTTTCAATAGTCCAGCGTTTCTGCCAGGATTGGGTCTCAGCTCCTGCCTTGAGTAACTTATACAAACTCCTTGTGCTTCAGTTTCCTTATCTGTAAACAGAGATAATAAGAGCAGTAACCTCAGATGGTTGTTATGAAAATTAAATGAATTAATACACATAAAACACTTAGAACTTCACACATGATAAGCCCTATATAAGAATCAGCTATTACTATCACTATTATTATTAATGTTATTAATGTTATATTCATTTTACAGGTTCATGATGATTTGAACAGGCAGTGGAAATAGTGAGGAGAGGGATGTGCGACCAAATTCTGGGGGCCTAATGAATAAAACCTGAAAACTGGACCGAGGGATGGAGGAACAGGAAGGGGCACACACCAGCATAACACTGCTCTTTCACATCTGCTTCAGTTGAGATTTTGAAGTTACAAATGGCTTCCATACTTGTCTTCTCAGTCAATCCTCAGCCTGGGCCTGAGGGGTGAGTATTATAGCCCACTTTATAGATTTGGAACCTGGGCTTAGAGAAGTTAGGTAACTGGCTCCATGGGGACAGGTTGATGTTTGCTTTGCTTGCCACCATGTCTCTGGCACCACAGCATAGTCCTGGCCCAAAGAATGTGGCCTCAGTAAATACTTACTAGTTAATGGATGAAGAGGTCAAATGGGTATTCTTTCTTTTGTTCCTGAACACAGCAGTCATGACAGGTCCTGTGCCAGGTACCCTGAGGAGGCGGAGATTAATCAGATGGGGTCCTCGAACATGAGGCACTCAGAGCCCAGAAGGTTGATAAGCTATGTTTAAATTTCTCCACCTGAAGCATTGAGGCTTCTTTGAGGGACAGATGCTCTGGGAAGTAACCCAAACCCACTGCAAAAATAAACCTTTGTTATAGTAAGTCACTGAGATTTGGAGGATATTTTTTTAATGTTACTAATTTTATTATTAATGTTAGCTTTTTTTTTTTTTTGTGAGGAAGATTGGCCCTGAGCTAACATCTATGCCAATCTTCCTCTACTTTGTATATGGGGCACCGCCACAGCATGGCTTGATGAGCGGTGTGTAGGTCTGTGCCCGGGATCCAAACTGCGAACCCCGGGCCACCGAAGCAGAGCACGCAAACTTAATCACTATACCACCACGCTGACCCTGGGGGATGTTTGTTTTATAGCATAACCCAGCCTTGGCCTTGCCTACCTGATAAACCATGGTTCCTAGACTTGACTGAAAATAAGAATTGTCAGAGGTAACTGCTAAAAACCTAGATTCCTGGGCCCCAACCCAGATCTACTGAATCAGAACTTCCAGGGAAGAGGCCTGTCATCTGTATATTTAACCGGCTTTCCCTCCAGCTTCGGGAGGGCCAAGAAAGACTCCAGCAGCTAAACTTTGAAGGAAGAGTAGGAGCTGGACTTGGGGCTGAGAGAGCGAAGGGCGTTCCAGGGCTCAGGAACAACGTGAAGAAAGGCACGGAGGTGGGAAAATGCAGGGAATCCAGCTTCGGACTGGAATCGGGGTACAGGCAGGATGGTGGTGTGCGCTCAAGTGGGAAGTCGGGTTAGGAAGTCTGGGCTTTATCTCATGAGCGTCAGGGAACTGGGGTGGTTTTCTGAGCAGGGGCTGGCCTGGTTATACTGATGCTTTAGAAAGGCCACTCAGACAGGGAGACTGCACAGGAGGCTGGTGTGTGGTCCAGGTGACCCACCTCACAGGGTTATTGGGTGGACTTTAAGTGACTGTGGATGTGATAAGCTCAAAATCACTGAACAACAGGAGGAATCACCATTGTTATCACATCGTATGTGCCTATGTCCACCTTTAGAGCCGCAGCCAGATTCGAGTTGCGTGCCTTTCACTCATTCATTCATTTAACAAGTATTTCTTGAGCACCTACTACGTGCCATGCCATGGTGCCACTGGAGAACCAGCAATGAACGAAACAAACAAAAATCTCTGCCTCCGTGGAACTTATTTTCTCTGTCTCTATGCCTGGGTAAAGGTGTGAGGGAATCTGCCATCCATCCACTCATTTATTCATTCAGATTTGTTGTGAACATCTACTTTGTGCCTGACCTTTTGCTGGTTGCTGGGGAGAAGCAGACACGAGTCAGGGCCAGGCTGGTCTAGTGGGGAAGCAGACTCAGCCCACACCTTGTGAGCTGGTCTGCCTGGACTGCTGAGAGACGCGTGAACTGGGCCTTGAAGGATGAGAAGCCTGACTATCAAAAAAAAGGGCTAACCCGGGTACTGGGCAGAGGAAACTGTGCAGTGAAAGGTGTTTGGGTCCATGACTCCATGGCCTGGGGTCCATGGCATAAGCAGGGAAGTGAGGATAGATGAGGTGATGGTGGTGGGATTCAAATGCCAGAGCAGCTACTGAGTGTAATCCGGGAGGCTGTGGGGGTTGATATTATCACGTTTGTCTGGGAGACGATCACACTAGCAGCTGGGGAGAAAGACAGATGTGAAGGAAAGGGGCTCGAAGTGGGAAGACCAGAGAGGAGGCTGTTCTGATGGTCAAGGTGAAAGCCAATGAGGGCCTAGACTGACCTGAGATGGTGGGGATGGAGTGGACCCAGAAGACAGCTCTGGATTGGGCAGTTGAGGGAGGAGCTATAACATTGTGGTTTTGTAATCAAAAGATGCAGGCAAGAGTGCCAGCCATGCCCTTTACTAACCTGTGAACTTGGATCTGTTACATAACCATTCTAAGCCTCAGTTTCCTGATCTGGACACTTGGGATAATAGCAGTAGTTGCTATGAGGTTGGGAGGATTATGGGAGCTACTCAGCATAGCACCTGGGACAAGGTGGATGCTCTGAACATGGTAGCCTCATTTGGATGGGAGAGAGAGCCAAGGACAGCTTTGTGTCTGCTTTGAGTGACTGGGGGGACAGAGGTGCCATCTCTGATGCAGAACACAAGAAGGAGCACCTTGCGGGAAGGCGAGGCCGCCACGGTCTTGGAAGTTCCATCATTAAAGCCCCTACCTCGCTTACTCTAGTTATGGCTCTACTCACATCTCTGATCACATCTTTTGTCTCTGTGTTCTTGGTGCCCAGCTCAGCGCTCAGGCACGTGGTAGGTGCTGCCTTTGAGGAGCAGGATCTGGCTTGCAGGTGTAGACGTGGGTATTGTAGGCATGAGTTGCAGCTGAACCTGGGGAGGTGAGAGGGTAAAGAAGAGAACCTGGGATGGCGCCCAGGGAACCCTGATGTTGAGGGGTTGTGGGAGAAAGGAGGAGTCTAGAAGGAGGCTGGGAAACAACATCCAGAGATTGGGGGGTGGGGGGTGGACAGGAGGCAGGTGGCAGGTGGGGAGCCAAGGAGAAGAGAGTTTCAAGAAGAGAGAGGTCATCAGGGTCATATGTCGCTGAAAGATCATGGAGGATAAGGCTTGCTGAGTTGTGGATGGATTTGGCATCAAGGAGGTTGCTGGGTACTTGGCAAAAGCAGGTTCAAGGCCGGTCGGGGGCCAAAGCCCTACTGCAGGGGTGGAGGAGTTGACGTGATGTTAAGATATAGAGATGGGGAGAGGAGAGGCGGGCATTAAGGAGAGGGATGCAGGGTATTTGGACCCTCAGGAGTACCAGAATTTCTCTCCCAATAAGGATGAATTTCGTTCTTAACAATCAGAGCCATCTAAAGATAGGCCAGGAGGTCTGGGGAGGTAGTCAGCACCCTGTCCCTGGAGGTGGAAAAGCAGAGCTCTGAGACCCACCGCTGCCCAGGGACTCACACTTAGAGTTGGGGAGGCTGTGCAAAAAAAACAAGCCCCTTGTCCTCCTCAGCTAGGCTTCGCTGGTTCCTTGCACCACAAAAGCCACCTAGAGGGTCAGTCTTGCTATTTCTAGTGTCCAAAGAGCCTCCTGCAGGGACACACACACACAGAGGTGGTCGTGCACAGGCTCACACAGTTCCTCAGACACAAAACATAAAATCTATCTACATCTCCTGCTGTAAAGGGACTCACAGCTCCTCTCCCCAGGTTATTCTCTTAATTCATTTCCTTACCCCCCCTTTCTGTGGGTCACCCCCACCCCACCCCAGCATCTCGGGGCCTCCCGCCGCATCTCCTCTGCCTCTCTCCGCATCTCTCCCTGCTTCTCTGGCTCTGCCCTTCCCCACCCCGCTCTAGGCCTCTCCAGACCCCTCCCCGTGGGTCCCCCTCCCCGGACTACAACCCCCAGGCGCCCCCAGCCCCGGGCGCTGCGCATGCCCCCTGCTCCCCGCCCCCTCCCGGTTCCCCCCTCCCTCCCTTCCTCCTTACCTCCCTCCGCCCCCCTCCCCCGCGCTTCGGCTCCCGCATCCCTCCATCCAAGCCTGTGCCGCAGCCGCATCGCCACCGCAGCCCCGGCAGAGCCGAGCCCGGCCCAGGCCCCTGCCCCTGCCCGGCCCTCGGCCCGCCGCCCCTGGCTCCGCCCCCGCCCACGAGCCACCCCTAGCGGCTCCGGTGCCCCCCGGCGCCCCTAGACCCCGGCCTCCAGCACCGAGGCAGGAGGCAGGGAGCAGCAGCAGAGGCAGGAGGACGAGGAGGAGGAGGAGGAGCCGTCGCAGGATGAAGGATCGGACTCAGGAGCTGCGGAGTGTGAGCTTGGGGGTGGTGAAAATGGGAGGGCGGGACCCCAATATTTGGGGAGCGCGTGGGGGTGGAATGGGGAAGGTGCTGGGATGTGGGGGCAAATGATGAGACTTGAGGTTGGTGGCAGGGGCACCCCAATATCTGGAGGCACCTGATGCCTCCAATGAACCTGCATTTTGGGGACAGTGGCCGGAAGGAGTTGGAGGCCATTAAGACACAAGAGGGCAGGAGAGGTCTCTGGGGCCTTGGACACCCCACGTTCTAAGGAGGGCCCTGGGGTCTGACCTGGGGATGGGAGAGAGTAAATGTCAGGAGAGAATTGGAGGGTACTGCCATTCCCTGGGCAGATTTGCCAAATTAGAAGGATGGGGGTGGTTACTGGGCCAGGCTGAGTCTAGCGGGACCCAGATTTGGGGGTGCTGTGAGGAAGGACACAGGTTGGGACTGAGATGCCAACACCGGGCAGTGAATGAAGTGTGTGTATGTGTGTGCACTCTGGTGGGTTGCTCCCCATGGGAAGGGGGCACCTCTTAGAGACAAGGAGGAAAGGGGTGGCCTCAGGAGACAGCCAGAGGGCCAGGGCCTGAGATGGGGTGACCCCAGAGGTAGGAGATGGGGATGCAGAGGAGAGGGGCACGAGGTTCCACACACAGGGCTTCGGAATTGGGTTGTATGACACGGACTGTGCTCTGCTAGGGGGAACTGGGACATCCTGAACAGTCAGGGGCAGGCTGACGTGGGCCCCGGGTCTGCGGGCCTGAAGCGGCCAGCCTCCAGGAGTCTGGCCAGGCAGCTAGTTCTGTTTGGGTGACGGGGGAGGAGGGCGGCACTGGTGTCTGCAGTGAAGGCTGCATTTGAAGGGGCTGCGGAGTAGGGGCTTGATGAGTATGGTTTCTGGGACAAGGAGGATGCTGGGGGATTTGGAGAAATGACCTGGGGCCCAAGGAGGCAGAGCTGACAGCCTGCTGTGTGCTCATGGCCTGTGGTGTTATGTTAATAAAGTCCTAGCCCTAGCCTGTGTATCCTGATGCACTGGGTCTTTGCCGGGAGCCTGTTGGTTGTTACTTCCGGGCTTATTACTCCATTTGACAGATGAGGAAACTGAGGTTCGGAAATGGGAAGGAACTTGCCCAAGGTCACCAAGCAAGGGAATGGGAGGATCAGACTGGAATCCGGGTTCCCGTCTGCCCAGTAGACCTGTGTCTCTGCACTGGGGGTAAAAAACTCTGTCTTCCGAGAGCCCCCTGGATTTGGGGGTGGGGAACCAGCTTACAGAAGACAAGAGGAAGGGGCTTGGAGGCAAGTGACTGTTGTGTCTGGGGAGAGATGGGTTGGCGAGTGGGAAGGAAGGAGGAACTGGTGGTTGAGGGAGGGAATTCTGAAGGTTTATTTCTTTATTAAACTTTTACTGAATTTATGCTCAGGTATCAGGAAAATGACAATAATAAAAATAACCGACACTCGTGCCAGACACTGTTCTAATTGTTTTATACGTATTAACTCATTTTGATCATCACAGCAATCCTAGGAGGCTGGTACTAGTATTATCCCATTTTATAGATAAGGAAACTAAGGCCTGGAAAGGTTAAGTAACTTGACCAAAGTCACATAGCTGGTAAAAGGCAGCCAGGCAGGCTGCCTCCAGCATCATGCTCTCAACTCCCCTTCTCTCACGATGCAGTTTTCAAAGCAGGTTGCCGTCCGTAATCTCATTAGACTCTCACCAGCCTCCTGGTAAGGTAGGTAGACTGAGAGATTGCTTCATTTTATAGTTGAGGAAACTGAGGCCCAGAGTGGTTAAATAACTTGCCCAGGGTCACACAGCTAGCAAGAGAGGAGTCCAGATTTGAATTCAGATCCCCCGCTGCCAAGACGAGTCCATGACTCCAGAACCCAGAGAAATGGGAAGTGAGTTGGGGTGAGGCTGCGGTGGAATTGTGGTATAATTAGAGGGAGGGAGGGAAAAGGCCTTTAAGACGGGTGTGTAGGGGGAGGCAGGGGATGGGGGTCCTCATCTGAGTGGGTCAGGGGGCCCTGCCCGGAGCTGAGCAATCCTGTCTGCTGGGGCTGTTGGGGCAGCCAGGTGGGGGAGGTGGGAGGTGGTGTGGAGGGGTAAAGGGGGCTGGGAGAATGCTGATGGCTCCTGTGTTAGTCACAGCTCAGGGAAACTAGAGATTTGGGAGGGGGCGGGTGGGGCGGAAAGAAGCTGCCAGATGCAAGGAGTTCAAGGGTCTCCCTGCTGGAATTGAGAGTGAGGAGGCTGGGAGGCAGGAGAGACTGGACAACCTGTAGGAGACCTAGGTAAGGGGTCTCTGAGATGCTGAGAGGGGTGAGGGAGCAGTGGTGGGAGGGGATGTCAGCCTGGGGGGCCTGCTTGTCTTTCCAACAGTACCTTAGCATTCCGAGGGGTTCTCGGATCTGTTTGTCATGTAGTAGTTGAGGGCACAGATTTGGGAGTCTGGATTCAAATCCTAGCTTTGCTACTTCCTGTGTGACCTTGGATAAGTTGCTTAACCTCTCTGGTCCTCAGTTTCTTCATGTGTGAATCGGGAGTAATAGTAGTATGTGCTTTGCAGGGTTGTCCTAAGGATTGAAATTAGTTAATGTGCAAAGTGCCTAGAGGAGCCTGGGCACAGCAGTGCTCTCTGAGGGTTTGTTATTCCATGGTGGACTTGTTTATTTCTCCTGAACCTCACATTAGCCCCCTGAGATAGGCAGGATGTGACCCCTAATTTATTTTGGAGTAAACTGAGGGCCAGAGAAGTAACCCTGACTTGCCCAAGGTCACACAGTTGTTAATGGCAGAGCCGGGGTTGAACCAGGGTTTTCTGTCTCCAGTTCCCCAAGCACCTTTGGTTCGGCACTGGGAGGCACTGGGCTGGAGTGGAGGCTGCAGTGGGCAGTTAATCAGCTGGATTGGTGTCCCAGGGTCCGCGGACGGGGGCCAGGGATGGGGCTCAAGAGTGGCGGTGGGGGAGCAAGTGGGGTAGAGAGGAAGGTTGGTGGGAGAGAGAAGGCACAAGGGCACATGTGGGCTGCAGCCTGGGAGGTGGCCGTGGAGTGGGAAGGCAGGAGATCGGGAGACTGGGAAATGGGGAAAGGGAGGCCTGCGGTGAGGGAGGCTTGAATTTGAGGCCGAGGGGGAATGGAGGTTGCTGTAGGATAAGTCATGCACCCCGAGGGCAAGGGTTGTGTCGTCTGTGTCACACTTGGGTGTGGGATGGGCACAGTCGGTGCTGTAGAAAGGCAGACCTAAATAACAGAAGGAAAGAGTGGCCCAATGTGCGAGAGAGTGGGCAGGGACCAAGAGAACCCTGGGCCCTGGACTGGTATCCCCTGGCTACAGTGGGCTTGTTTCTGCCCTTCAGACATACCAAGGTCCTGCCTGCTTGAGGGCCTTTGCACTTGCTGTTCCCTCTGCCCAGAATGCTGGTCGCTCTGTTTTGAATGCTATTCCCTCTGCCTGGAACACTGTTCCCTCTGCCTGAATTCTGTGTCCTCCAGAGTGTGGCACAGTTGACTCCTTCAGGACTTAGCTCAGATGTCACCCCCCGGAAAGGCCCTCCCTGACAGAACTGTATAAAGCCGCCCCTGATGCGATTTCTCTCTATCACATCTGATTTCTCTCCCTCCTGCTCCTGAGGACAATCTGAAATTATCTTGTTCATTTTTCATGGTGTCTCCCTCCACTGGAATGTCAGCCCCTTGGAGGCAGGGCCTTCCTCCTGTCTTGTTCACCGCTGTATTCTCAGCAGCACCCAGAGGAGCACTTGGCACAGATCATACGTATTTGTGAGATGAATGAGTGACTCAGTGGGGCAGAGGGGAAATGAGGAAGGGAGTAGGTGGGGAAGGCAGGGAAGGCGGAGGAGAGAAACAGGGCGGGAGAGCTAGGCTATGTGCGGGGAGGGAGAGAGGCCCAGGTCAGGGAGACAGATGGACAGGAGTGGGGGAGCGCTGGAGAGAGGCTGCTGCCTCTAGATCAAACGATGCCTGCACTCCGGGGAGCACATGCGAGCATGTGTGTGTTGTGTGCTTGGGCACACGTGTGTCTACACACACTATGACTTTTCTATCACCCAATGCCAGACTCTTTCCTCCTGTCTTATAGTCACCATCTCACTGTCTGTCTCTGGTTACTGACTTGCTGGATCACATCGTCCCTCTCCTCCTTCCATCTACACATCTGTCTGTCGTCTCCCCCGACAGACACACACAGGAGGGCCCTTGGGTCTCTGATGGGGAAGGACTGAAGCTAGAGGCTTGGAGCTGGTGCCCCCGATCCCCACGGTGGTTTCCAGAAGGCGCTCAGGCTCTCTGCACTCTTTCGTTTAATCCTCTCAGGCACCTGAGGAGTTGGTGAGCAGTACAGGGCAGAGAGCCTGGTTCAAATCCAGCTGTATAATCTTGGGCAAATTATTTGATCTCTCTGTACCTCAGTTTCCTCACCTGTCAAATGGAATAAGAACAGTATCTACTTCACGGAGTGGTCGTAAGGATTAAACGAGAAATACTAAGCACTTGTAACAGGGCCCAGCTCATGTTAATCAGCACATGTGTTAGATGTATATAATTCTTACCTTCTTCATTTTGCACATGAGGAAACTGAGGCTTGAATTGTCCATATAGTGGATGGGGGCACGTTTGGTTATCTTTTCCTAGGTAATCTCATTTGCCCACACCCTGCTTTCTTGTAGGCTGGCCAACTTCTTCCAGAAATGCAGGCTGTGCTCATTATTAAACACACATACCTCAGAGCAGGGAGGGCCTGCATCATGCCCACGCATGCATCAGCCCGCCCGTTTCACAGAGGAGCTGGGGCCCAGAGAGGGGCTGAGATTTGCTGAGGGTCACACAGCAAGTCAAGTGGAGGCTAGAATGCCTGGCTTCCTGTCTGGGCTCTTCCTGCAGCCAGGCACCTCTTACTGGTTTTTCTCTCGCGGCCATAGGAGTTCGGCTGTACTGAGGACACAGCAGAGCGACTCTTTGGGGCCAGGTAGGAATAGAGGGATGGAGGGGAAAGAGCCTGGGATTTAGCACTGGACAGTTCAGGTGCCACCTCGGCCTTATTTGCTGTGAAGCCTTAGACAGGTCAGGCAACGTCTCTGAGCCTGTTTCCTCATCTGTAACATGAGAGGGGCAGGGGATAATAGCCAGCCCTCACCAAGCACTTCTTCTCTGGCAGGATTAGGCGTTTTTCCTGCCTGGTCTTATTGCCTCCTCCTGCCTACTATTTGGGGTAGACATTGGGGCCAGCCCAGTGGCATAGTGGTTAAGTTTGCACGCTCCACTTCGGTGGCCTGGGGGTCGCAGGTTCGGGTCCCGGGTGCGGACCTACGCACCGCTCATCAAGCCATGCTGTGGCGGCATCCCACATACAAAATAGAGGAAGATGGGCACGGATGTTAGCTCAGGGCCAATCTTCCTCAGCAAAAAGAGGAAGATTGGCAACAGATGTTAGCTCAGGGCAAATCTTTCTCACCACAAAAAAAAAAAAAAAAAGAGAGTGGGGTAGACGTTATTACCATTCAGCAAATGCAGAGGCTGACGCTCAGAGGGGAGAAATCAAGTGGCCTTCTAGCTGCTGACCTGGGCAAGTTCTTTAGTCTCTCTATGCCTCAGTTTCCCCATCTACAAAAGGGAGCTATAATAATATCTACTTGGGGGGCTATTGTAAGAATTAAATGGGTAAATATATGCAGAGTGCATAGAACAGTGCCCAACACGTTGTAAAATGCTGTGTAAATGTTTGCCATAATTATGATTATGTTGGTCAATGGTCCTTACAGAGTTTTAATGAAGATTAAATGAGATAACAAGAATGTAAGACCTATGCAAAAGGTGCTATTGAATGCTAATATTTGGTTAGGTTTTCGGGGTGCAGAGCTTCCCCTAGATTGGGCCTGAGCAGGAGCTGACCTGAGAGGGAAAATAGCTGGTGGCAGAGTTGCCAGAAGGAGGTGGCTTGGTCTCAACCCCTTCCAAGGGGTTGTGGGGGAAGCATGTCTTAGATGCCTGTGATTTCCTGGCCCCTGTCAGCGTGGATGTCCTTGGGCAAGTCACTTTCCTTTTCCCCCTCTGACCTCCTGTCCTGTCATCTGTGAAATGGGGGACAGTGATATTTGCTCAGCCTTTCTCACAGGGCTTTGGTGGTGAGGATCAGAAGGGATTAGAGATGTAAAAGTGTTTGTAAACCATAGAGGATTATTAGCTCTCAGCTCTCTGTAATTATTATACAAAATAAGTCAAACTTGGGCCCTCTACCTCTCTTCCTCTTTCAAGGACAAGTAAACAGGAAGCCAGGGATGCCCCAGGGCAGACTCTAAGGGAACTGGCTCTGGGAACAACAGGAGAGAGAGAAATTAGACTTTAGGAAGTCTCAAGTCAGCAAGGCGAAGGGAAAGAGACAGAGACAGGCAAGTTCCTGGGCACCTGTGCCAGCGAGAGCTCTCATGACCTGTGAGCACTGGGCTGAGGGTTGAGTGCTTGAAGGCAGAGAACGGGCAAAGGAGTAGCTTTTGGCTTGAGGGGAAGGAAGCCTGGTGGGGCAGCTGGCTTTTTGATGACAGAGCGTCCTGGGAGGCCGGTGGATCCTCAGAGGTGAGCCAAGCATCCCAGAGCCTCTCAGGGCCAAGGTCTATCGGAGTGGTCCGGGGTCAGGTGGAGGCTTGAGAAGCCAGAAATCTATCAGGGTCCCCAGTCCCCACCTGGTGCCACCCCTCCTTCTAGGGGCAGCTGTGGGCAGAGACAGAGGAGCCTCCCTTTCTGGGAGGATCTTGGGGATTCTCTGGAAATTAAATGTGAGTGCTGAACACATTTTCTGATGTGGTGTGGGGCCCAGCGTCTCTGGGGAGGATCCCTGGAGTTCCATTTGGGAATGAAGCTGGGGTGGCTTCGAGAGTGTCCAGCTGGAGGGCTCCTCTGGGCTTGCGGGCGCCTCCTGGAGCTGCCAGGGCTCTGCTGACTCCGAGTTCCCTGCCTGTCTAGATTGCATCTGGGTCCCATCTGGCTCTGTCTAGGTTCGATCTGAGCTGTCTGAGATGTGTCTGTGTCGAGTTTAGTTCGGTCTGAGTCTGTCTGGTTTCTGTCAGGTTCTGGCGGCGATCTTCTCGGACCCTGTCGAGGTTCCATCTGAGCTCCTCTCTTTAGAGCCCCACTGGCTACACCCCAGGTGGACGCTGTTTGGATCCTGTTTTGAATTCATTCAGGCTCTGGTTGTTAGATTCTGTGTGAGTTCTGGCTAAGCTCTTTCTGGAAATCAGGGTGAACTCTGTTTAAATTTTCATTGGGGGCCGGCCCCGTGGCTTAGCGGTTAAGTGCGCGCGCTTCGCTGCTGGCGGCCGGGGTTTGGATCCGGGCGCGCACCGACGCACTGCTTCTCCGGCCATGCTGAGGCCGCGTCCCACATACAGCAGCTAGAAGGATGTGCAGCTATGACATACAACTATCGGCTGGGGCTTTGGGGAAAAAACGGAGGAGGATTGGCAATAGATGTTAGCTCAGAGCCCGTCTTCCACAGCAAAAAGAAGAGGATTGGCATGGATGTTAGCTCAGGGCTGATCTTCCTCACAAAAAATAAAAATAAAAAAATTTTCATTGGGCTGATTAGGGCTCCGGATAAAATTAAGCTTGGTGGGCTCAGCTTTTGCCCTCAGACTTCTGTCCCGAGCAGAGAAGAGTCTTGGGTCAGGAGTGTGTAGCACTGGGGAGCCCTCCCTATACCCCTTCCTCTTTCCCAGCTCTGAATGAGTGTGCAGACCTGAGACTCAGAGAAGCTGGAGAACAGGCCGGGAGGGCCCTCCCGAGTGTCCCTGGGGGTGCGGGTGAACGTCCGGGCGTCCACGTGTCAGCATGCAGCTTTGCTGTGGGTCTGTGTGCGGGTGAACGTCAGCGTGTCAGTGTATCTCCGTGTGGGTGTCAGTGGGCCTATTTCTGTGTGCCTTGTGTGTCAGCCCTTCTGTCTGTGTCGCTGGTCTGTCTGTCTGTTGCTGGTGGTGGCAGTGTGGGTGGGTGAATCCCTTTGTGTCTCTGAGCCCTGGGGGTGGAAGGCTGAGCAGCTGCAGGTTGCAACTGGGAAATCCAAGCAAGTGAGAGAAGGTGGGTGTGAATTTGGAAGAGGCTGGGTGAAAGCAAGTGAATACACCGAGCAGAGTCAGTGAGGGGCAGAGCCGCTGAGGGGGTGAGGGTGGGCGGTAGGAGAAAGACGCAGGGAGCAGGGAGCAGGGAGGTCGGGGTGCTGCCTGTCTCTCTCCTCTAGCCCTCACTGGGCTTGATGGTGCTTGCTTAACTTGGCGCCCGCGGCCCGCCACTGGCACTGAAGTGACCTTGCAGAGGAAACATGGCTTGTTGGGTGGAGGCTGGAGGGGAAGAGAAGGGGAGCAAAGTGAGGCCTGGGCAGGAAAGGCTGGTGGGGCTGGTGGAGAGGGTCAGCCTCCTGGGACTTCATTCCAGACCCCTTCTCGAAGCTCAGAGCCAATTACTGCAAGGCTGACATTTAGCTGGTTGTTACAATATTGAAATACCTCCATATGGTTGGTTAATAGCAGCTGTCCTGAGCGCCACCCACCTCCAGAGTGACTGCCCTCACACGGCCCCTTCCGCCCCCTGAAAGGGTGCCTCTTGCTAATTCCCTCCAAGGTGTCCTTTGGCCTATCAGCTGCCTGGCCTCCAGGACCCTGTTCCACAAGATATCTAGTGTTCCTTCTGAGTGCTTGGTGCCCTTGCTGTCCCCCCTGCATATGATCCCTCCCAAGACCCCTGCTCTGAGCCTAGAGCTGGGAGTGTCAGGACCAGGGTAGGGACTGCTCATGGACTCCACCTTTGTTTGTCTCTCAGGCGAAAGACAGTGATGATGAGGAGGAGGTGGTCCATGTGGATCGGGACCACTTTATGGATGAGTTCTTTGAACAGGTAATTAAGCCTCCATTGAGCCCCTAGACCCCCCTCCATTGACCCCCACCACCACCACTGAGCCCCCAGAGCCCAAACCTGGCCCCAAGCCAGTAACTTCCTTCTCCCTGTCCCCCCGCTGTCTACTCCTACACCCCCTTGGCCTTTTACCAATCCCTCTGAGTCTGGCCCATTGCCCTGAACCCTGACTGAGCCCCTTGGAGCACCCCCGTCTGGCCTGATGACTTGGCTGAGTATAGTCGATTTGCTGCCCCAGGTGGAAGAGATCCGGGGCTGCATTGAGAAGCTGTCGGAGGATGTGGAGCAAGTGAAAAAACAGCACAGTGCCATCCTGGCTGCCCCCAACCCAGATGAGAGTGAGTGCTGCTGCTAGGGGACTGTGGGTGGGGGGAGAAGCGGTCTGGGCTCCGATCCAGACTTCTCACCGGCCCTGGCCCTCCCCTCAGAAACCAAACAGGAGCTGGAGGACCTCACTGCAGACATCAAGAAGACGGCCAACAAGGTTCGGTCCAAGTTGAAAGGTGAGCAGTGCAATCCCCGATTAAGAATTCTGCCCTCCATTGGACCAAACAGGCCTTTCTATAAGGAAAGTCTGCAAACTTCCAGGAGCCAGATTCCTAAACAGTGAGAAAGCCCAAAACCCCAGATTTCCCTCCGTGCTTTAGATTCTTTGGAGAAGGCTACGTGACAGGGAAATGAGGGAGAGGAGGCTTTCTGTCCAAATCGCATCTGAGCTCTGCTGGTTTCATCAGCATGAAGGTCCATCGGAAAAATATAGTCTTCCAAGTGGCTTTGGTTTCATTAAGGCCTCATTTCTACAGAACAGGTGCCGGGCGTGGCGCTGAGCGCCCAGTAAGTGGGCTCAGCAAATGCTTCTGGATTGGTATCCTCAGCTCAGGACAGATTGGACTGTGTGGCTGACATCAGGGACTGGCACACTTTCAGAAGGGACTTGCCAAATGCTCATGTATTCACTCTATTTAAGGGCTTGGGTGCTGGTAATAACCACCTTCCCCTCAAGCACTGTGGGTTGGGAACCTCCTTGTCTGCTGGTGCCAGGGGAATAGCAGTGTTACCGTGATGCTAATTTGTATGGTCATGGTAATTCGGCAGCAGAAAACATTGCCCAGCACCTACTCTGTCCGAGGCACATTGCTGGGCTTTGGGAAAAAGGAGCATGTCCGCCCTGAGTGCACTGACCTTGCCAGGGAGATGAGGACAGGGACTCTGTGCCCTCCTGGACTCAACCGGAGGCCATGTGTGAGCTGTCAATGCTGCTCTGTAAAAGCAAGCCCTTTGCACACAGGACAGTGTGCTGGAAAGGAAAATGACCTAAACTGGGAGCACATTAAGTGCAAATCCAGGCAGAGGGAGTCCAGCCTCCATGATCACCTCATTCCAGACAAGTACTCTACCCTCAGCTTCCTCATAAGAAAAACTGAAGCAGGGGCCGTGCCGGTGGTGTAGTGGTTAAGTTTGCATGCTCCGCTTCAGCAGCACAGGGTTTGCAGGTTTGAATCCTGGGCGTGGACCTACGCACCACTCATCAAGCCATGTGTGGCGACATCCCACATATAAAATAGAGGAAGGTGGGCACAGATGTTAGCTCAGGGCTAATCTTCCTCAGCAAAAAAAAAAGAAAAGAAAAGAAAAACTGAAGCAATTTCAAAGCTGGCTTAAGAAAATTTTTTTTTGTAGCAAAGTCTTTTTTTTCCCAAATGAAATCTTACAAAGAGGTCCAAAATATAAAACACATAAAAAAAAAATCAATCTGTTCAGGCTGAACTAGAGTTGGGAGGCCCAGGGCCCTACCTGCCTGGCCTCCCCTTCACTCCTGGCAACAGCCCCTGAGATTTCTTCTCAGAAGCAGGATTCTGTGCAACACAGTCTAACAATCCCTGGGCTCAACAGTTTCTTTGGGCCCATTGAGCTCTGACCTTAACAGTCCCTATAAGACCATGAGGAGGGCTCCATGTTTTAGGGGTTCAGGAATAGACCAAGAAAGAAGCTAGGGAAAGTGGCAGTGGCTAGAGAAGCTGACTTTCCAGACCTCCAGACAAAGAGAGAAGCTGCTCTTCTTCTCCGTCTTCCTCCAGCAGTGTGATGGCACACGCTCGGACTTTGTGTGTGACCTGGAGTGAGTTGCTTCACCCATTTGAACCTCGGTTTCTAGTCTGGAACATCGTCTGATATCACTGAACTCCCAAGGTTCTTGGAAGAAGTCAGTGAGACCCTGTAAAGGACCCCTCCCTCCAGGGCTTGGCCCCAGCCCCAAGTCTGACAACAGGGTCCCGGTCTGGGCCAGAGATTCCGAGATCCCAGGGTGTGTGTCCCTGTGCTTTTCCCACAGCAGCTGGGCCAGAGCTGTCACTCAGTCACTGTGCCTGCCATGGCTGGCAGGGAAGCGCTGGGGTGCCATCTAGCCCCATACCTCCCCTGCTGCCAGCAGAAAGAGAAGTGATGTTCTCAGGGTTGGCCTGAAGGCCCTTCCAGGTCTTAGAGGGCCTGGTGATTCATCCCTGCTGCATTTTCCAAGCACTGTAGATCTTACCGCAAGCTCTTTTTTAGAAAATCTGAATGGTAAGTGTCAGGAGTGCATGATCCAGAAGCAGGAATCCCAGTTAATCTGTCTGATTTTCCAGAACATCTTTTAGAAATAGGAATTCCTGGGACAGGGATCACCTTGCAGGGCAGGAGGAGAGCAGTTTTCTCTGTTGGAACATCCGTCCACTCACCCTAGAATTTTCCAAGGAAAGGGTGGCTACTAGAACCCCACCCACCTGGAGTGCCTGCCTTCCACCAGAAAAATCCCAGGGTAGGTTCCTGTCCCTTTCCAGAGGCTGTAGGAAGTGGAGTTCCCCAATACACCAGACCCTCCAGTGGACTGGGCTCACACCCCCGCATGGGGGTTGGGCAGGACTTAACAGCTGTGGGACTTTCCAAGATCCAGTCCTTCCACCAGAACAAACAGCCCCCTTCTGTCTGGTGATCTGTTGACCCTCAATCTCCCCTCCTACCTGCCTTTCAGATCCCCTCAAATGTCTGTCCTTTTATTTGCCGGCCTCCTGCCCCCTCACCCTGGATCCTATACTCTGCCCTCGCCATGGGTGTGACATCTCTTCACAGGCCTGGGGCCTGCCTCGGGGTGTCGACCCTTCATAGGTCCCAGACCCCTGCCCCACATATCCTGGGTCTCCTGCCCGTCACTGCCCCTCTCTCCCGCAGCGATCGAGCAAAGCATTGAACAGGAGGAGGGGCTGAACCGTTCCTCCGCGGACCTGCGCATCCGCAAGACCCAGGTAGGAGGCGGCGGCCAGGCCGGGGTGGGACCGGGACCGGGACCGGCACCGGCCAGTGGAGGAGCCCCGGCTGGAGCCTGGCGGGTTGGGGGTGGGCGGGCCAGAGCGGAGCAAGGCGCGGGGCGTGGCCAAGGAGGAGCCTGGAGCGGGGCGGGGGCGGGGCGGGGGCGGGGTTATAGCGGAGGGCGGGACCTGGCCACATCGCGGTGCGCTGATGCGGGCCGAAGCTGGTTTGAGCGTGGGATAGGGGGCGCGGGGTAGGGGGTGTGCGGGTGTGAGGGGTTGGGATCGTGGCGCGAGCTGAAGAAGGGGCCGGAGGCCAACTCATCCCCTCCTCCCCACTCCATCCCTCCACTGCCTGCTCCCCTCTCCTTATGTGTCTGTACCCCCCACCCCAGCACTCCACGCTCTCCCGGAAGTTCGTGGAAGTAATGACCGAATATAACGCGACCCAGTCCAAGTACCGGGACCGATGCAAGGACAGGATCCAGCGGCAGCTGGAGATCAGTGCGTGTGCCCTCCCTCACCCCCTAAACAACTCAGGCCTGCCCAAGCTCCCTTCCAGGCCCTTCCTCTCCATGGAGAGGGCACCTGGCCTGAGGCTGGGTTGGAAGGGTGGGCTCCCAGGTCCCTGCCCCAGGCCCCCAGGCCGGCCCTGTTCCTGAGCAGGGAGTCCTTTCTCCCCACAGCCGGAAGGACCACGACCAACGAAGAACTGGAAGATATGCTGGAGAGCGGGAAGTTGGCCATCTTCACCGATGATGTGAGCCGTGGGTGGGGGTGGAGTCTGTTTGTGGAAAGCATTCGCCTCTCCTCCCTCTCCAAACTTAGGTTGAACTCAGGGTCCTAAGTCCACCCTGGAATAACAAGCAGTGGGAAGCCTGCACCTGGAACTGGGGAATTCCATGGGGGCAGAGCAGGAAGGCACCCCCATAAAAATGGCAAATGGTAGTTTGCCAGGCACTGTTCTAAGCACTTACATATTTATATTTACCTACTAACTCATTTAATCCTCACCACAACCCTCTGAGGGAGCTGCATTTCACAGATGAAGAAATCTGACCCAGAGAGGTTTAAATAACTTGCCCTGACTTGCCCGAAGCCTCAGAGCCAGGATTTGAATCCACAGTCTGTGTTCGGGAGTCAGGACTCTTTACTACTAAGATACACTACTCCCTACTGAAGCAGGTCATTTCACCAAATGACTAATTTGCCTTCATTTTGAATATTTTTTTAAAAACCAGTTTTACTTTTGCTGAAGTTTTGCACACTGCCTGCCTTTGTCATTTCATGTGTGAGTGGATGGGCTTCCCCCAACTGTAGTTCTTTCTCTTGTTGACTTTTGCCCCGGCCTGGCCAGGTCTGTCTCTCTGCTTCTGGTGGCAGAATGGCTCTGGTCAAGGTTTCTAGACCAGGATTAAAGGATGTTCAGTGACTATGTATCAGTTTTCAGCAAATTGTTATTTAGATAATTGATCTTTCTTAATTAATTTTGAATAAATTGACTGAGGGCCAGTTAGCCTGGAGCACCCAGAAACAGCTCTGCATAGGCTGTCTGTGTGTCTGAGAATGGAGGGAGCCTGGTGAGTGGTTTTCAGGGGACAGAGCTGATCCCTGCCAGTTAACCCACCATCACTGCAGTCCACAGGGTGGTTGGGACCTTGCCTGAGGGCTGTGCAAGATGCAGACAGGCCCAAGGTAGTGGTTAACCACTGGAGTCCGGGAAGGCTTCCTGGGGAAAGTGGCATTGAGCTGTGCCTTAAGAGACAAGGGGACATGGGGAGATGGGCGAAGGGCAAACTAGACAAAGGGAACAGTTGAACAAAGGCAGGTAGAGTGCACCACTTGCCAAACAGCCATTGGATGATTTTGGCTCTTATAGGATATGTAGGAGATGAGGGCAGAAAGGGAGACTGGGCCTTGACTGCTAAGGTAAAGGTGTGTAGCCTGTGGGTAGTGGGGAGCCCTGGAGGGTTTTAGAGCAGAGGAGTGGCTTGCTGCGGTCTGAACAGTCACTGGTTTGGGAAGGTGTTTGTGGGGAGGAAGTGGATCTGATTGTGGGTTGGAGTCTCTCTCCCACTGACTCTTGAGGCTGCAGTGTGTTTCTTTATTATTTCTCCCCTCCCCCTCATGTGGTGGGGGCTCCAGGGGCCTTGTGGGCACACTGCCTTCTCATCTGGGCCTCCTCTTCTGCTCTCTGCTGTGTCCTCTTCCATTACCCTGTCTGCCTTTGACCAGACAGGGGCCCCCTGTCTGGTCCTGTCTGGTCCAGGACACTGGTCCCTGGACCAGACAGGGACCAGTGGGGCCCCTGCACCCCTATCTTTCTCCCTGGGCTTCCCTGGTGTGTGTGATAGAGAAAGCCCTGGAGTGAGGTGGTGGGCGCAGGACAATTTTTATTTCTTATAATTAAAAAAACTTGTTTTGGGGCCGGCCCGGTGGCATAGCGGTTAAAGTTCGCGTGCTCCACTTCAGTGGCCTGGGGTTTGCAGGTTGAGAACCACTTGTTAAGCCATGCTGTGGCAGCTTGACATATAAAGTAGAGGAAGATGGGCACAGATGTTAGCCCAGGGCCAGTCTTCCTCAGCAAAAAGAAGATGATTAGCTCAGGGCTAATCTTCCTCACACACAAAAAAAATTTCAAAAAAACCCCCCCAAAAACTTGTTTTTAGTGCTTGCTGTGTGCCAGGTACTATTCTAATCAATATACACATATTGACTCACTTAATCTGCCCAACAACCATGTGAGATAGGCACTGTTATTTTCCATCTTTTCTAGGTGGAAAAACTGAGGCCCAGAGAGGTTAAATAATTTGCCCACAGTCACAGCTAGTAAATAAAAGCCAGAAATGAACCCAGATGCTCTGGCCACAGAGACCGAGCTCTTATGGGGGTGAAGGGTGGTCTGCAGCTCTCCCCTCCACCTCACCCCCATCGCCCTAGATCAAAATGGACTCGCAGATGACGAAGCAGGCACTGAATGAGATCGAGACGAGGCACAACGAGATCATCAAACTGGAAACCAGCATCCGTGAGCTGCATGACATGTTTGTGGACATGGCCATGCTCGTGGAAAGCCAGGTACAGCCTCTGCCACACCGCTCTGGAGCCTCCCCCAGGTCCCCGGGGTTCCCTCTTCCAGCCCAGCCCCTACCCCTCCCTATGCACCTCTGCTCTGCAGGGTGAGATGATTGACCGCATTGAGTACAACGTGGAACATTCCGTGGACTATGTGGAGCGAGCTGTGTCTGACACCAAGAAAGCTGTGAAATATCAGAGCAAGGCCCGGAGGGTGAGCCGGGGTGGGGGCCTGGGGGGTGGGTGGGCCAGCCAGCCGGGGGCTGGGCTCAGGCCGGGGCTGAGGTGACTGAGGAAATCTGTGCGAGGCCTTATCTCTGGCTCTGACCTCTTCCTTTTTCTGTTTTCTCTCCCCTCTTCTTTTTCCTCACACCCTCCTTTCCCTCCTTTTTTCCCATCTGTCTGTCTGTCTCTCTTTATCTGTTTCTCTGTCTCTCGCCTCCTTCTTCCCTATTGCCCTTCCTGCCTGCAGAAGAAAATCATGATCATCATTTGCTGTGTGGTGCTGGGGGTGGTCTTGGCGTCATCCATTGGGGGAACGCTGGGCTTGTAGGCCCCCCACCCCATCTCTCCCAGACCCATCCCCCACCACATCGGGAGCAATACCCCCACCAGTCCTTTCACTCCATCCCCTACTCCAGGCTCACCCCCAAGACAGACCCAGACAGTCCCCCTTCACCCCCATTAGACCCTGGAGTCCCTGGACCTCAGCCTGCCACGGACCACCCCCGGCCCCCGCACGTAGATAGCAGCAGGCGTGACTACACATGCACACCAACATGCATGCTGCCGGCACATGCTTGAGACGTGTGGGCACCCCAGTGTGTGTGTGTATGTGTGCAGATGTGTGTAGAAGCACCAAATCACACTTCATGCCCCCCACCTGGAGCCTGTGTGCTGTCTGAGCTTCCTCCCTTCACTTGGGTGGTTGTGTAGACTGTGGCTGAGTACAACACAGCAGCCCACCAGGCCCCACTCTGTCTTCTGTGAATAGGTGTGTGTGTGTGTGGCACAGATCTGTGGACACAATTTGTGTGCACGGAATTTTGTGTTCGAGTGTTTAAATCTAATGCAACGTCACTTCCCTCACTGTCACCCCCTTCCCTGTGTCTGCTACAAAGAGGGTGGGTTGTGTGTGTACAGATGCTCACACTCACTTTCCCAGAGGATCCAGGTAGGCCCAAATGCAGGTAGGCCATGGCAGACACCCCAGCGTGATATAGAGCACACCCTCCTGGCTTAGTCACCCCGGGGGCTGGCACATGTCCTGGGGAGCGTGTGTGTGTGTGGTCAGCCCATGGAGTTCAGCCAAGGTGAGTGGAAGCGCATGCATGTAAATAACCTAGCTTGGCCTGTATATACGTGTGCATTTCCCCCGGCAGGTGATGTGAGGGACACGTGTGTGTGTGTGTCTCAGGGATGTGCCTGAAGTGTTGGTAGGTCTTCTCTTCAGACAGAGCTCTCCATATTGTGCACTGGACACGTGTTTTGGGTGGGCACAGAAATCTGTGTTTCTGTGCTGTCTAGAATATGACTGTGTAAGTGTGTATATGTGTGTGTGTGCATTTGCGTGTATAGAGGCTTTCTACATAGTGTTTCTGCTCCTATGTATTATACACACACACACATTTATCTTTAGGGACGTGTGCCCCATCCAGGTTTGTTTATCCAGATATATTTGCCCCCTCCCTGTCTCCCCAGAGCTTCTGACCAATATCTGGTGTGGCTACACACTGCTACATCAACATTGTGCAGCTTCCTGCCTGCAAGGTCTCAGAGCCCCTGTGCACACATGCCCAGATGCTTATCTTTCTCTGTGTCTCTGCACCCCTGAGAGCTTGGTACACCTCAGTGTCCTCACACATGCCAAGGCTGAGGAGGCCTCGTGCAGGTGGCCATACCCAGGCACACACATACACACTGGAGCACACGTGCATGGTAACATGGGCATGGTGCCCCTACAGGTCTGCACCCGTTTGCACACGAATGCCTCCTGGAAGGGCTATTTGTGGGATACCTTACTCATGGGGCACATGTCAAGGGCTGCCCCAGACAGACTGACAATGAGAGCATGCCTGCCTTCCACACACTGAGCTTGGAGCTGGGAGAGGCCAATGTTTGTCCCCACTGCCTCAGGGACCTTGAGTTTGGGGAACTGTTTATTTCAGATGTACTGGAGTGGCCAGTGTGGCAGCGGCCACTCAGGATGGGCTAAGTCCTGGGACCCGTCCCCTGACACCTCTTCTGCTGAAGTGTTGGCGACAGCCATTCTCCCACCAGGATGAGATTGAGGGTGGGATGCAGGCCTGGTTTCTGATGGTGAGGAAAGGGCTAGGTCCTCCCTCATTGTGTAGACAACAAATGCATGGGTGGGTTTGTGCATTTGGTGGCAGGTGAGAAGTACATGGGCGGAGGACAGTGTTAGAAGCCCCCCACTCCATGGCTCAGGAACATGGACCCACACATACAGGATGGAACACACAGGTGCAAGAATGTGCCCTGCCTTGGGGTTGGGCACACATGTGCACAGGGTGAAGGACTCCAGGGGGTGTGCAGATCATTTCCAGGGTCCCACTTCCTGTGAACCATGTGTGTGTCAGACATGACCTTCCAGTGTGTGTGTGTGTGTGTGTGTGTGTGTGTGTGTGTGTGTGTGTGTGTGAGAGAGAGAGACAATGCAGGTGTGACCTTCCAGAACACAATACTCCTCCCCACTCCCACCCCAGCTCAGATAGCCTGCCTCTTCCCTCGCTGGCTGTGTGGGCCCTGCCTGTGTGTGGCTAATATATGTAACCCCCAAGGTGTGCTGTCCTGAGGAGGGAGCCTGCCTGTCCATTCCCAGAATGCCCTTCTGCAGGACAGGAAGTTTGCCCCCGTGTCCTGACTGCAACCCTCCTGCTCCCATCTCAGGCTTCTTTGGGGACGTCAGAGCAGGGCCCAGCAATTCCTTCCTTTTTCCTTCCTGCTGCCCAGCCAGGACACCCTTTCAGCCCAGGTGTTTCCAGAATTCCCACAGCCTTGGGGCCACAAGGAGAAGGGTGGAGCTCTGGCTGGAGTGATGCTACTGCCTCTGAGTAGCTGCCCATCTCTGGGCCTCATTTGGACCAGAGGGCCCCAAGGGTCTGCTATGCCCCAGGTTCTGCAAGTCCCATGCATTATACGATGTGTTTGCTTGTTGGCTGCTGTGTCTGTGTGTCCTGGAGTGTTGTCCGGGGGCGTGTCTTCTGCATGGTCTCAGACAAGCAAGTGTGTGCTGCCTACTCTCCATGCACCCACAATCATCAGGCCCATGAGTGCCCCATGGGTGGTCCCGGGCCTGGCTAGGGCTCGCCACTTCCCCTCCCCCTTTCTTCCTAGCCCTGCCTCTCACGAAGCACACTGCGTGTCCATCCCATGTGCCTGTGGGTCGATGCACGCTCTTGCCACGCCTTGAGCGTGTGTACATGATGTGTTCTATGCATTCACCCTGCACCCCCAGCCTGCCCCGCAGAGGACAAGATGGGTGGCCCCCGGCTCCCTTCTCCCCCATCCGCCCCCTGCCCGCTGTGCAGCCGTGTGCGTTGGCGTGTGTTCCCGTGTCGCTGGCGTGTCACGTGATGTAGCCGTGTTTGCTGACATGAGTCCCTGCCCCTTCTGTTTCTCTGTTGGTTTCTAGAGCTCTTTCCCTCTCCTCCCCAGAGGGGACAGGACTCCTGGGGCCTGGCTGGGGACCCAGAGCCAGGCCACCCTCTCCTGTTAGCCCTCAGAGTCCCATTTCTCTCTATTGGTGACCAAGTTGCAAATGGATAAAACACAGGAAAATTCTGCCCCCGCCCCCGCCCTGCATGTCCTGTCCCCAGAGCCCCCACCCCCACCCTGGGCCGGGTCGGGCCCCGTGGGACGGGAGAAATAGCAACCAATCCAACAGCGGGCGTTCTGTGTGCTCACTTCCTTCTGTCCACACATGGGACGGTCGCCGTGGGGAGGGGGAGACACATGGTGGGAGGCGGGCTGGGGAGCTGGAGAGGCGGATGGACACAGGCTTGGATAAGGAGTTTTAATCCAGGGCTTGGCCAGGTACAGCATTGCTGGGGCATCCTCAGGCAGAGATCTAACAATATTGCAGGAACTGATTTGGGTAGAGGAGTGGGAAGAAGTGAAAATACACGGATTTCCTCAGCTTTCATTGGGGAGAATTAAAAGATAAATGTCTAAAGGTGATAAATGTTTTAAAATAATGGGAATATGATGCCCCAAGGAGGGACAGAGTGATGGGAGGAGCCAGAAAGCATCTTCACTCTGAATCCAGGCCTGAGGATCACGCCTGGATGTCAGAAGGCCAGCATGAGGCCTGTGGAACTTCTCCCCACTTCCTGCTGGGAAAGCCGGCAATGGGGCGGGCAGTTGAGAACACCAAGTCAGACCCTTGCCAGCCAGCCTTCAGGCCTGGGTAGAGAGTGAAGCCGTTCCTGCCTTAGAACTGAGAGGCATCAGGACACAGACTCAAGCCTCATGGATTTAAACTGTGGAGAGCTCCAAGAGAGCCAGTCTGGCACCAGACCCCTGCCTCCAGCTCTCAAATGTTGCCTTCCCCCCCACCCAGGGTTTGAGGGCTCTGGACCCGGAAGGATGTGCCACGCTGGGCCTCCAGGCCCCAGCTCCACCGTCACTGGACTGAACCCTCCATGGCCTGCACCCAGCGAATGGTGCGGGTCCGGCTGTCCTCCCATGAAAACAGGGGCTCATAGCCAAAATGGCGCTGAGCCTTGTTGGTGCTGACAGTGAAGGTGGTGTTGGCCACGGCCAGCGTGTAGGGGTTGAGCAGGGGCGCATAGAGCAGCAGTGGCCGCAGCAGCCACTGCAGCAGGGCATTGAGGGCAGCCAGAAACACCAGCAGCCAGTAGGGCAACAGTGGGCGGGTGCCCACCAGCCGCAGTCCACAGGGGCCCAGGAACTCCATGTTGAAGTCCTCGTAGCTCTTATAGGGTGACTTGTCATAGCAGAAGTACACCTGGCCACCCATTAGTGCCGCTCGCTGCTCCAGCTCCCGGGCCACCAGCACATGCATCCAGGCTACGTTGCCTGCCAGTGGAGAAAGGGGTGGACATGACCGAGTGCCCTTGCGACCATGTAGATGCTGCTCTCTCCTGGGCCAGCCCACGTACAAGCCATTCCCTCTTTCGGCCCATGTAGATGCTGCCACCATAACTACAGCCCTAGTAAAGGCTGCTTTCTCCCTGGCCCCTGTAGCCACTTGCTCTCCTGGGCCAGCCTGTATGGACCCTATTCCTTCTTCTTTTGGTCCAGTGTAGATGCTGCCCCTCTCCTCTCCTCAGCTTATGACGTTTTTATGTCAGCCTTCCCAACTTGCATGGATACTGTTTTCTCTGTGGCTTGTGCAGACAATGCCCACATATCAGTCTACCCCGGCCCGTGTATAGACCATCCTTTTCTAGGCAGTGTACATCCACCCACCCCCCAGCAAATTCTTCGCCTCCCCTCGCCTAGCCCGGGCCTCACCCACGTAGACCCGGCCGTGCTCCACAGAGGCTGGGACGGCCCGGAAGAGCCGACCCCCCAGGCGCAAGCCCTGGTGGTAGAAGTCCCTCATGATCTGGTGGCCTTCACCATAGATGCCGGTGGGACGCAGGGCACACGTTACCAGGGGCAGCCCCCCGCGGACCTGGGAGCAAAAAGCAGGCACTGCTAAGACCTAGGACCCAGTGACCCACCCTCTGCCCTGGCCTCCTCAAGCTGGAGATGGAAAGGAGGTACCCAGGGCAGGATGCAAAGAAGCCCAGCTGGCCCTGGTTCTGCCTTTGACTGGCAGCCCTCCCCACCCCCATCTCTAGGTCTCCTCTTCTCCAGTCTCACCTTCCTTCCATTGGCTTCCAGGACCAGCCGTTCAGCTAGGGCCTTGCTGCAAGGATAGGGGTGTCTGTGTATTGCTTCATATGGGGTGTCCTCATTGCCCCTGGTGGTGGGAGAAGGAAGATTCTTTTTTTTTTTTTTTTTTTAAGATTTTATTTTTTGCCCCCAAAGCCCCAGTAGATAGTTGTATGCCATAGCTGCACACCCTTCTAGTTGCTGTATGTGG